GCGCTGACATTCAGCGTTCCATAACCACCTCTCGTTCTTTTTCAACAAACGAGAGATGTGTACAGTCATCTCGGCGTAATTGCGTGAATACTTATGCAAATAAGCCGCTAGCCCAAGGAATTTTCGAAGACCTTTGACATCAACCGGCACAGGCCAGTCGGTGATCGCCTTGATCTTTTCGGGATCAGGACGTACACCGTTCTTACCAACGATGCACCCAAGAAGTGGTATTTCGCTTGCTGCAAATATACACTTCTTGAGGTTTGCATACAATTGATGCTTTCGCATAATTGTAAGAACCTGTCGGGCGTGGTACCTGTGAACCTCAACGTCAGACTTTCCATCCATTGCTCGACTATGGATGAATACGTCATCGAAATAACTCGGCGTGAATCTCGTACTGGTCTCAACAGATGTGATACACATCTGTTGAACGTGGCAGGGGCATTACTAAGCCCTTGTGACATTACTAGCCACTCCCAGAGCATGCCGCTAGGCGTGCTAACTGCGGTATAGGGTATGTCCCGTTCTCGCATAAGGATTTGATAGAAGCCATCCATCAAATCCATGGACGAAAAGATGGTACTCTTTGACATACCATCAATGATTACGTCCTTCCTCGGTATCGGCGTCTGAGCCGGTACCGTTGCAGCATTCAACTTGCTAAATGCGTGCACTGTCCGCCACCCTCCTGTTTCTTTTCGCACATAGAAGGTCGGAGAGCTGTGTGGGGAAGTTGATTCCCTCACATGACCCGCTGCTAAACGATCGGCACAGAACTTGTCGATCGCAAGTACTTGTTCACGAGGCAGTGGCCACTGCTTCATGAAACAGTACTTCGAGCCTGGTTTAAGCTCGACCTCGTGTCGAGTACCTTTATCCTTCGGTAATTCGCACGGAACAGTTTCAGGGAATACATCCTTGAATTCAACCAAATCTTCATAGAGAGGATTTGTCTTGAGCGATTCCCACGATTGGGATTCGTATCGCTCAACTCGTGTCCTTTTATCTAGGACACTCTCGTCCATCGATGAACTACTGAGAGTCTCTCGTTCTCAGTGAACACTGTTGCTGACCTTATGTCGGCTACACACTCGTCGTCAGCGACGAGTACGCAGATCTGCTTGACTTTGCCACTACGCAGATCACGCAAGAACCTTTTATGTTCGAGCGTTGGCAACTGAGTGATCTCCGAAGTTAACTTCGGAGGCGCAATCAGATCAAGTGTATAAGCGCCTAAACTTGATCCGTTATTGACTATGACATTCAATGTCTCTGTCATTTCCTGGGGACTTATTCCCTCAGGCCTCGAAGGACTTATTCCTTCGGCTTCCCGGGGACTTATTCCCGCGGGTTTCGGGGAACTTATTTCCGCCGTATTTGTAATATCGGGACTTATTCCCTTAACTTCCTCTAGCTGGGGTTGCGCAACCACAGCGAGATCCTCTACGAAAGACTCTCCAGTCGATCTAGGATTATCGTTTCGCTTAATCTGAGCGATCGATTGTTTCACTTCTAGATGTTCCCCGCTAGGGATACATCTTTGTCCCAGTCCACTCGACTTATTCGAGTGGTGGACCTTCGGCGCAGCCTGTGTTTTCTCACAGCCGCCGGAACTTTGCTCCGAAATGTAACCGTTTGTTACACTAAGGTTTTGTGCAGTCGTACTAACGACCGTACCACAAGTGAGGCCATCGCACTCACTCTTAGTACATCCACACGCTTGTGGACGCCCCAGAACGTTCATCAGATGGCCATCTGACGAACAAGCGGCAGGCATCGTTACTGTTCGGTGTTGCCAGTTTACCCGTGGTTCGTACCTTCTGAGCCACGGTATTCCAAGGATGACATCAAATTTGTCATCCAAATCTAATACGATAAAGTCATCGTCATATTGGGTATCTTCTAGCGTATAGTGGATCTTCACTATACGCTTCATGACGGTTACGGATGCGCCTGTCGCAAGACGTACCGTCATCCTCGTAGGAGGTGTGTCACATTCACTGAACTTAAAGTGACCATCTTCTAGCGATTGGCGTCGCACAAAATTGTTGGACGCCCCACAATCGACTAGAGCTCGAAGGGACAACTTATTCGTCACTTCGAGTTTCAAGGTAATGAGTGAGACCTCATTACCTAGAGCAGCAACGCACAACGTTTGTGTGTTGGGAGCAACTTTCATCAAGAGGCCTACAAATTCTCTTGACGTTGCTAGACCAGTAGGGTGCTCCGCACCTACTGATCCTGCCCGTTTTTTGACGGTCCATCCCGTTGTTGCGTCTTTGCACCAACTGCGGACCCTCGTCCCTGCCCCTTTCTCATGGGTGGACGGTCACTACGCCCAGTGTCGCGAGACACTGAACGAGGGGCACTACACTCGTAAGCGTAGTGTCCTGTCTTTTGACATCTGTTGCATCTCTGCAACTTCTTGTAGCCTGTAGAGCGAGCCTTCTCGCTCTCTACATAACAGAGTTCCATCGGCTCTGGACCTCCGTTGTCATATCGTCTCGGTTGACGATATGAAGTCTTCCTGTTCCGCAATGGAAAGGGCTTGTTCTAGTGAATCTAGTTCAAGCCGGAACAGGTGAGTCTTGACGGGACCATCCGCAAGACCCTGCATGAACACCGAAACCAACGTGTGTTCATCCACCGGATTGGAACTTACACAACTCGTAAGATGTCGTATATGTTGGGCGTAAGCGTGCACATCACGCTTACCCTGTTTGAGCTTCAAGAGTTCGGTTCGAGCCCTGAACTCAGCTCTAGGCGGTTCAAACGTTTGTCTGAGCCGCGACTTGAAGACTTCCAACGACCCAAACGCATATGGGTCGTGCAACTTGAGCCCCAGTGCCCAATTCTTGGCACGTCCTGCCAGATTTGACTGGGTAAATGCAACTTGCATATCCCCGTCGTCGATGCGACGCGCCCTTATGGCGTCATCCAATTCGACGAACCATCTCACGAGGGAGTCTTCTTCGACTCCCCTATACTTGGAGATGTCAATCTTCAAGGTCTCGGGTCGACGCGAGTGCATCGACCCACCAGCAGCAGCCTGCTGCTGTCTCAACAGTTCAAACTGTTGAGCACCCTGTTCTCTCAACAACTCTGCTTGTTGAGAACCTTGTTGGTGAAGCAAGGCTACTTTCTCGCGTTCTGCGTCAAGTTCATTTTGAATGAACTTGGCGATAGTAGCATGTTGGGCATCTCTATTGAGAGCCTCTAGCATGACGCTAACAGCATAGATGCCCATGGTCGAACCCATTCGTTCAACCGCATCCCATTCGACATCGCTCAAATGGGAGTAGCCGTCACGCGTAGCGCGAAAGCTTTGGTCATCTTCATCATTCAACATATTCATGTTGGATGTGAACGCGGTCCTTGGACGGACTACAAAGTGCTACCAGGTGTAACGGGGCACCCTGAAGCTTGTACTGGTGACAGTACAAGCTACTTATTCTGATGACAGAATAAGGCGGTGCCTCGTAACTTCACGTACACTCGTACGTGCAAAGGAAGACGGTAAGAAGAAGAAGCGAGTACTTGGTTAAAGTAAAAAGTAGAACTGTATTTATAATAGTTAATGTCTGCAATAAATCACTATTTATCTTCATCTAACTATGTTTGAATACAAATGTGCATATCAACTATCTGCTCACCACTCATTGCGTGCGTCTGTCGTGGCGCGTCTTCGTTAGTTGATATAATGGCATATATCAACCAATTAGGAACTACTCGTAAGTGCTACAGAATATTTGTCCTTATGACAATATTCTGAGAATATAACTCTTATAGTTATATTCTATTAACAATTTCTTATAAATTGTTATGTAACGATTCACCCCGTTACATACGGGCTATATGGTTTTACAGCCTAACAATATCTACCTAATCTAATTGCCGCATGCTTCGCTACACATACAAAATATCCTAAAGAAGACACGTTGCATGGCATATTACGTTTTTTCATTAAAAGTGAGCTAATTTATAATCAACAAAAATCTGGGCAATAGTTCCACTTTTTAAAGCATTACTAAGTAAGATCTTCCAGTTTGGTCTAGTAACCCCAGTTGGAATGTCTGCTTAACGGCTTTCAAATGTCGCCATACTGCGACCATTATGGTAAAGATGTTCTTTCACAACCAATAGGTGCTTTATTACCGTAAACGCGCCGTGCTCACGTAACGAAATGTGAGGTGACATAACACATTGCGCATCTACAATTGAATTTGTATCTCGAACACATTGCGCATCTACAATTTGTACCTCGAAGTTGATGAGATATTGTGTGCATTTCGGCCAGCCTCTTTCTTTTAAATATTTTAAACGTCTCCAAAAAGTCACTGTGGATAGCAGCTCAAATATTGGTCATGTCCATAGCTCCCTACAGTCTTTGCTATTCACGCGATGGTTTGTAGACCACAATACTTGATTTTTTATCTTCGCTGACTATAAACCTTTTGATCCACTGTAAATATTCAAAGAAGAATATGCCGATGAATATCAATATATATAACAACATTGTGAGTAGTATTCGTCAGCATGTCCTCAATAAAAAATTAACGAGTTACACTGGCCCCTCACAATAAGAGAGAGCCTTGTGTCCAATTTTCATATTGTGTCGTATCAACGTCTTGTATAGAGAATATGAAAGGAAGAAGTAGCAACTTTTATAAAGCGTGAACCACCGAATATTTACCTAAACGATGTGAAATCCAGTCAAACACAAAGCCAACGAGCTGTCAAGATGCTCAAATTCCTGATTCATGCGCCGCGCACGTCGTACAGTCGCGTCTGTGGAGCTCGCCGGCGCCCAGTGCTTCAATGCCAGACGGAGCACCAGCAGTTGCAGCACTGACCAAAATAGCATCTCTGTAAGATCTTATGCACGAAAACGGGACTATGCACGGAATCAGCAGTCGTCCTGGTTCCGTCGCAGGTCTTGGCAATTTCCTGCGCAGGTTTCAGTGTACATGCGCAAAGTTATAGAACTTTCTGTGCCAATGACGAGAAGTGTCCGGTACAAGCAAATGATGGAGGATAAGAAGAGGTGTTGCTCTTTTATGACTATGACGTACGGCAGCAAACTAAGCTCGGCCAAATTTAAAATCTTGCGTGCAATTCTACTGAAAGATGGCTACATGTCAGTCCCGACGGTCAATGCTGCAAACAGTGTGCTGATCAACACGGGCGCCGTGCACGACAATGCTGCAAATATTGTGCTAATAAACACGTGCACCGTGCGTGGCAATGCTGAATCCAAAGCCAGGAACTTGTTTGAGTCGCTGCACTAAACGATTTCCATGTCTGCGCTTAAAGTACAAGGAAGTGAAGATTGAGGGCGTGGTGGGATGCACTGTTGAGAGACTCAAGATGAAGATGTTACAATCGAACTAGATGTTTGGCTAGGTGGTGGTCACTGGCAATTGAAGTGATTAACTTTTATTGATGGTGTAACGGGGTGAATCGTTGCATAACAATTTATAAGAAATTGCTAATAGAATATAACTATAAGAGTTATATTCTCAGAATATTGTCATAAGGACAAATATTCTGTAGCACTTACGAGTAGTTCCTGATTGGTTGATATAGGCCATTATATCAACCAACGAAGACGCACCACGACAGACGCACGCAATGAGTGGTGAGCAGATAGTTGATACGCAAATTGTATTTAGACATAGTTAGATGAAGATAAATAGTGATTTATTGCAGACATTAACTATGATAAATACAGTTCTACTTTTTACTTTAATCAAGTACTCGCTTCTTCTTACCGTCTTCCTCTGCACGTACGAGTGTACGTGAAGTTCCGAGGCACCGCCTTATTCTGTCATCAGAATAAGTAGCTTGTACTGTCACCAGTACAAGCTTCAGGGTGCCCCGTTACACCTGGTAGCACTTTGTAGTCCGTCCAAGGACCGCGTTCACATCCAACATGAATATGTTGAATGATGAAGATGACCAAAGCTTTCACGCTACGTGTGACGGCTACTCCCATTTGAGCGATGTCGAATGGGATGCGGTTGAACGAATGGGTTCGACCATGGGCATCCATGCTGTTAGCGTCATGCTAGAGGCTCTCAATAGAGATGCCCAACACGCTACTATCGCCAAGTTCATTCAAAATGAACTTGACGCAGAACGCGAGAAAGTAGCCTTGCTTCACCAACAAGGTTCTCAACAAGCAGAGTTGTTGAGAGAACAGGGTGCTCAACAGTTTGAACTGTTGAGACAGCAGCAGGCTGCTGCTGGTGGGTCGATGCATTCGCGTCGACCCGAGACTTTGAAGATTGACATCTCCAAGTATAGGGGAGTCGAAGAGGACTCCCTTTTGAGATGGTTCGTCGAGTTAGACGGCGCCATAAGGGCGCGTCGCATCGACGACGGGGATATGCAAGTTGCATTTACCCAGTCAAATCTGGCAGGACGTGCCAAGACTTGGGCACTGGGGCTCAAGTTGCACGACCCATATGCGTTTGGGTCGTTGGAAGTCTTCAAGTCGCGGCTCAGACAAACGTTTGAACCGCCTAGAGCTGAGTTCAGGGCTCGAACCGAACTCTTGAAGCTCAAACAGGGTAAGCGTGATGTGCACGCTTACGCCCAACATATACGACATCTTACGAGTTGTATAAGTTCCAATCCGGTGGATGAACACACGTTGGTTTCGGTGTTCATGCAGGGTCTTGCGGATGGTCCCGTCAAGACTCACCTGTTCCGGCTTGAACTAGATTCACTAGAACAAGCCATTTCCATTGCGGAACAGGAAGACTTCAGTCTGAGACAGGCTCGCGCCAGCTCGACATCATATCGTCAATCGAGACGATATGACAGCGGAGGTCCAGAGCCGATGGAACTCTGTTATGTAGAGAGCGAGGAGGCTCGCTCCACCGACTACAAGAAGTTGCAGAGATGCAACAGATGTCAAAAGACAGGAAACTACGCTTACGAGTGTAGTGCCCCTCGTCCAGTGTCTCGCGACACTGGGCGTAGTGACCGCCCACCCATGAGAAAGGGGCAGGGACGAGGGTCCGCAGTTGGTGCAAAGACGCAACAACGGGATGGACCGTCAAAAAACGGACAGGATCAGTAGGTGCGGAGCACCCTACTGGTCCAGCAACGTCAAGAGAATTTGTAGGCCTCTTGATGAAAGTTGCTCCCAACACACAAACATTGTGCGTTGCTACTCTAGGTAATGAGCTCTCAATTATTACCTTGAAAATCGAAGTGACGAATAAGTTGTCCCTTCGAGCTCTAGTCGATTGTGGGGCGTCCAACAATTTTGTGCGACGCCAATCGCTAGAAGATGGTCACTTTAAGTTCAGTGAATGTGACACACCTCCTACGAGGATGACGGTACGTCTTGCGACAGGCGCATCCGTAACCGTCATGAAGCGTATAGTGAAGATCCACTATACGCTAGAAGATACCCAATATGACGATGACTTTATCGTATTGGATTTGGATGACAAATTTGATGTCATCCTTGGAATACCGTGGCTCAGAAGGTACGAACCACGGGTAAACTGGCAACACCGAACAGTAACGATGCCTGCCGCTTGTTCGTCAGATGGCCATCTGATGAACGTTCTGGGGCGTCCACAAGCGTGTGGATGTACTAAGAGTGAGTGCGATGGCCTCACTTGTGGTACGGTCGTTAGTACGACTGCACAAAACCTTAGTGTAACAAACGGTTACATTTCGGAGCAAAGTTCCGGCGGCTGTGAGAAAACACAGGCTGCGCCGAAGGTCCACCACTCGAATAAGTCAAGTGGACTGGGACAAAGATGTATCCCTAGCGGGGAACATCTAGAAGTGAAACAATCGATCGCTCAGATTAAGCGAAACGATAATCCTAGATCGACTGGAGAGTCTTTCGTAGAGGATCTCGCTGTGGTTGCGCAACCCCAGCTAGAGGAAGTTAAGGGAATAAGTCCCGATATTACAAATACGGCGGAAATAAGTTCCCCGAAACCCGCGGGAATAAGTCCCCGGGAAGCCGAAGGAATAAGTCCTTCGAGGCCTGAGGGAATAAGTCCCCAGGAAATGACAGAGACATTGAATGTCATAGTCAATAACGGATCAAGTTTAGGCGCTTATACACTTGATCTGATTGCGCCTCCGAAGTTAACTTCGGAGATCACTCAGTTGCCAACGCTCGAACATAAAAGGTTCTTGACAGAGACATTGAATGTCATAGTCAATAACGGATCAAGTTTAGGCGCTTATACACTTGATCTGATTGCGCCCCCGAAGTTAACTTCGGAGATCACTCAGTTGCCAACGCTCGAACATAAAAGGTTCTTGCGTGATCTGCGTAGTGGCAAAGTCAAGCAGATCTGCGTACTCGTCGCTGACGACGAGTGTGTAGCCGACATAAGGTCAGCAACAGTGTTCACTGAGAACGAGAGACTCTCAGTAGTTCATCGATGGACGAGAGTGTCCTAGATAAAAGGACACGAGTTGAGCGATACGAATCCCAATCGTGGGAATCGCTCAAGACAAATCCTCTCTATGAAGATTTGGTTGAATTCAAGGATGTATTCCCTGAAACTGTTCCGTGCGAATTACCGAAGGATAAAGGTACTCGACACGAGGTCGAGCTTAAACCAGGCTCGAAGTACTGTGTCATGAAGCAGTGGCCACTGCCTCGTGAACAAGTACTTGCGATCGACAAGTTCTGTGCCGATCGTTTAGCAGCGGGTCATGTGAGGGAATCAACTTCCCCACACAGCTCTCCGACCTTCTATGTGCGAAAAGAAACAGGAGGGTGGCGGACAGTGCACGCATTTAGCAAGTTGAATGCTGCAACGGTACCGGCTCAGACGCCGATACCGAGGAAGGACGTAATCATTGATGGTATGTCAAAGAGTACCATCTTTTCGTCCATGGATTTGATGGATGGCTTCTATCAAATCCTTATGCGGGAACGGGACATACCCTATACTGCAGTTAGCACGCCTAGCGGCATGCTCTGGGAATGGCTAGTAATGTCACAAGGGCTTAGTAATGCCCCTGCCACGTTCAACAGATGTGTATCACATCTGTTGAGACCAGTACGAGATTCACGCCGAGTTATTTCGATGACGTATTCATCCATAGTCGAGCAATGGATGGAAAGTCTGACGTTGAGGTTCACAGGTACCACGCCCGACAGGTTCTTACAATTATGCGAAAGCATCAATTGTATGCAAACCTCAAGAAGTGTATATTTGCAGCAAGCGAAATACCACTTCTTGGGTGCATCGTTGGTAAGAACGGTGTACGTCCTGATCCCGAAAAGATCAAGGCGATCACCGACTGGCCTGTGCCGGTTGATGTCAAAGGTCTTCGAAAATTCCTTGGGCTAGCGGCGTATTTGCATAAGTATTCACGCAATTACGCCGAGATGACTGTACAACTCTCTCGTTTGTTGAAAAAGAACGAGAGGTGGTTATGGAACGCTGAATGTCAGCGCTCCTTTGATGGTATCAAGCAGAGCTTGATACAATCCCCAGTCCTAGCAATAGCCGATCAGGACAGGCCATTTCATGTGGTCTGTGATGCCAGCGATTTCGCAATCGGCTGTGCATTAATGCAGTACGATCTTGAAGGCGTTGAACGCGTCGTCTGCTATCAGTCGCGTCAGCTGCAACCAGCTGAGCGGAACTATCCAGTGCATGACAAGGAACTCCTTGCCATGAAGTATGCACTCGCGAAGTTCAGAGTCTATCTATTAGGAGATAGACCCTTCGTTGTTTACACTGACCATGCGTCATTACGCACGGCAGTGAACAGCCCGCACCTTTCACAACGAATGGCGCGGTGGTTGTCATTCTTTGCAGGATACAACACAGACGGTATAGTACAAACCAGGACGACTTAATGTCGTCGCTGATGCACTCTCACGTCGTCCCGACTTTGAAACAGTCGCGAAACCCAACAGTGAGACAGTCACTGTTGCGGTTATGACGTCCTCAGTCCCATCTACAACGTTGCATGATGATGTGAGGCGGCCGTACGCCCAAGATGGTGAGATTGTGAAGTTGTTGACACATATCTCACAACCGTCTCGAGAATCGTTGAAATGATTATAGTATGTTTATCGATCTGCATCAGATCGATACAAATACTCGTAACGGTTTACTGTATTATACAGCCGTTTCTGGTGACACACCACGTGTTGTCATTCCAGATGATACTGATCTGCGTTTGCGGATCATGTTCGAGTATCATGATGCTCCTATAGGAGGACATCGTGGCCGGGAAAAGAGATGTCTCACGGTGAGTCGAGACTTTTACTGGCCCCGTCAGTATCAGTTTGTGCGAAAGTATGTTCGCGCATGCGAAGTCTGCCAACGAGTGAAGTCAAGTTCTTCACTGCGTGCACCTTTACAGCCTCTACCAGTTCCGGCAGAGCGCTGGGAATCCATCTCGATGGATTTCGTCTTCGGGTTACCCAAAGATGCACGCGGGAATACAGGTATTCATGTATTTGTTGACAGATTCAGCAAAATGGCACACCTTGTTGCTGTACCCGAGTCAATCACGGCAAGTGGCTGTGCTATGTCTTTATCGACACCATCTTCCGACTTCATGGGCTGCCCCGTGAACTCGTATAAGACAGAGATCCACGCTTCACTGTTAATTTCTAGCCTTCCGTGTTCATATCACTCGGAACGCGCTTGAAGATGTCGACATTTGATCATCCAGAGTCAGATGGTCAGACGGAACGAGCCAATCGTGTCCTAGAAGAGATACTTCGAGGATACGTACACTCCTTTAAGAGTTGGAGTGAGTTCTTGCCAATGGTAGGGTTTGCCATTAACAACTCGGTGCATGCGTCCAAGACCCATACACCGTTTTACATGAATGGCTTGTGCCATCCGGGTGTACTCACCTTACTATAGTGTAACTCTGGTTAAAGAAGGGGAGGGACTCGCGCGAGCAAAAACCGATTTGGTTCACGCTCATCACGCTCTGACGATGAGGTCATTGCGTTTGATGCCGATATTGATAACATCGAAATCGAAGAAGAAGATGCCAGTGAGAGCGCGGAAGACCTCACTGAAGAAAAGATTGATGTTGCTGCAGTGCACTCAAAGCGCACTGAAGCTAACGAGTCATCAGATGAGTTCATACTGGCTCGTGAAACGGTAGTCCGTTTTGTGCAAGACTCCATCGCCGAAGCGGTGGATAAGCAAAAGTAAAACGCTGACAAGAATGGAAGGGCAAACACTCTTTTATTTAATAAAGGTGACTTAGTCCTACTGTCTACGGTTAATCTACCAAAGCATGTAGTGACTGACTTGGGTAGCAGTAAACTACTACCCAAGTACATTGGCCCATTTCGTGTATTGCACCGCCTAGGCAATGCATACACGATCGAGTTACCACGTAAGATGCGAACGCATCCCACGTTTTACGTTGGTCGGCTTAAGCCGTACCATCAGTACGCTGTTTCTTCCGATGAAGAACGCCCTTGCGTTCAAGCATCTCGCAGAGAGCCTTGTGCTCCCGATGGTGGGCATCAACAAGGGTCTGAAGAGCAGCTATCTCATCCCGAGACCGATCAGCAATCCCACGAGCTACCCTTAGCTCGTCACGAAGAGATGTTAGAGATCTCTCGTTCTCAAGCTGAGCAAAGGCAAACTCAGCTCGATGCTTCGAGGCAGTGTCCGCCATTTGGAGACGCCTATTCCGCTCATGCTCGAGATCGTCGCGTAACCCTTGCGTTACGCGATCAAAGAGGCTCTCGGGAACACACGCTTCCCAACGATCGTGTGGAGAGCGTCTTTCCTCGTCATCCACCTCCATTAGAGGACTCTCGCGGTGGCCAGCGCTATCTAGTTGAGCAGCTGTTGAACCATCGCGACGTGAACGGACGTCGGACGAGTTATCTCGTCCGGTGGCGCGGTTATCCCCCGTCCTGGGATTCTTGGAAGCCTCGCTCCCAACTGATGATCGACGTGCTGGGTCTGGTTGAGCAGTACGACGCGGCACATCCTGTGCCGCAGAAGGACCGCCGGAGAAAGTCTTCCCGGCACGGTCGTAAAGGGATTTCAGGTTGTCAATCCCTTCGTACATCTCAGTAGAGACACGTACGCGCCACCACGGGCTGGTAAGGAGGTAAGCCTCCTTAGGTGCTCGTGCAGAGTTGTTCACACAACATGGGCACGAGTCTCCCCAAGAGAGGCAGGGTAATCCTTTCTCCCTTGACAGACGATGCAGCTTGTAGCGTGCACCTGTAGGGGTTCGCTTTTCAAACTTATCACGAGCTTTGATAAGTTTGTCGTTCCAAGCGTCACGACCTACATCCTCGAGGTTATGGATGTAGGCGTTCCACGCCTGAAGTAGTGAGGGACCATCACGTTTGTGATTCCCACTGTACCATCGATGTCTAAAGAAAGCATCGATGAAGAATTCATGTTCAGCGCGATAGTTTTTCGCGCTGGGGTCAAGGTGATGGATCCTTGACGAATCGAACAATCGTGTTCGATAACGATCACTCGTCGTCGCCGACAAGTGATCCATGACAGATTTGGGAGGCATCCATGCCTTCTTCTCACAAGCGAGACGCAAGACATTGCGGTCCCGCTCTTCCTGCGACGTGCCGACAGCAGGACTGGCACCTCGTTGCGAAGTGGTGTCCATAGGAGAACCGACACCACTATTAGCGCCCGAGTCTCGCGATCTCTAGCGCCTACGCTCCGGCGATGGTTCGTCTGATTCGTCAGACGAACCGAAGATGCTGCGACGCAAAGCATCGTCCATGCCACGCTTGGCAGGCGGCTTAGATTCAATCGCCGTCGATACGGATCCGTCATCCGTATCAGGAGAGTATGAGACACCGAGATCATACTCTATGAAGACACGAGTGTCTTCATGACAAGCGTATGCATCACAAGGTGATACAGGCTGCGTCGCTTCAGAAACCGATGACACATCGGTTGCAGCGCTTTCTGCTTCGGCGTCTACACAGAGACGTGCAGACGCGCTCTCAGCGGCCTTGTTCGCGCACCGCATGGACTTGTTTGACATGCGATGAAACTGGACTCGGACCAACAAGTGCAAACCCCGTCCCAAATGATCTGGGACAAGTATCTATTCAGTCAATCAGTCACTAAAGTGACTTATGGTTAAGGGGGGTGGGTGATGTAAAGGGGTGAACCGTTGCATAACAATTTATAAGAAATTGTTAATAGAATATAACTATAAGAGTTATATTCTCAGAATACTGTCATAAGGACGAATATTCTGCAGCACTTACGAGTAGTTCCTAATTAGTTGATATAGGCCATTATATCAACTAACGAAGACGCGCCACGACAGACGCACGCAATGAGTGGTGAGCAGATAGTTGATATGCACATTTGTATTCAAACATAGTTAGATGAAGATAAATAGTGATTTATTGCAGACATTAACTATTATAAATACAGTTCTACTTTTTACTTTAACCAAGTACTCGCTTCTTCTTCTTACCGTCTTCCTCTGCACGTACGAGTATACGTGAAGTTCCGAGGCGCCGCCTTATTCTGTCGTCAGAATAAGTAGCTTGCACTTTCATCAGTACAAGCTTCAGGATGCCCCGTTACGAAAACATTTCTTCAATATTATCCATCTCGGATAATATTGGTAGGGAAATTTCACGCATGACAATCTCCCTAATGTCACCGTTCGGTGTCAGTATCATGAAACGGGCTTTCCCGCTACATGCCCTTAACTATCAACCACCCTTTAATAAAAATTTAACTGATTGAGACAGGGTAACCACCGTTGGATCACTCTGGGAAGGAGAGCACTTGTTGGTCAACTATCAACTCATTTGCCAATTCATAGCGTGGTTTCAAAGTCCATGCGACGTGTAGCCGAAGCAGCAAGAAAGGCGGTTGCATGCATGAGTGCAGCCGAAGAGATGTAATCTCTTGCTTTAGCAACAGGCGGCGCCTGTTGTAAACAGTCCACATGGTGAGTCATCACGTGTGACAAATACATCCGCTGCGTCTAGAGCAGGTACTGCGACACGCAATGTAGGTGAGCCTGAAATAGAGATCAAATATTCTGGCGAGTCGGATTATGCATCCAACTCGAAGGCGACACCTTACGCCTTCGGATCATCCGGGCGGACAATTAAGAGCCAGACTGACTGGATCCGGGGATCGTGGCGGCATAATGTCCGAGATCCTTGGGCCGAGCGATTTTTCTGACGAATCCTCGCCTCACGCAAGTCCACCCGACCATCAGAGGTGTGGCGATGGTGGTGATGCCCCTTGCATCACCACGAGAAAGGAACTCGAAAGATCGAGCTGCCACTGGTGACATTGCTCATACTGAAACCACTCAAGAGGCCAGGGACCAAATTGTACTGCGCCACGCTCCTCAAGTGAAGTCTCCTTGGATGCCATCATCTAAGGAGTTTAATCGAGTGTCCGGTATGACCACCAAATGGTATCGAATCCCGTTGTTCGACTGTAGGATGATCTTTCCTCCTTATTTTTAGCACGGAGACTGTCTGTGCTGAGGAGAGTTCTTCACTAATGCATTTTTCAAATATCAGTGGTACAATGGCAACCGTGGTCAAGACGGTACGGCCTTGGTGCAAGGATGGAATGCCTTCATTCATAACATCGAGTCTCTTGGCCGTGAGGTCTGGCTCGGTAAACTTGATGCAGCTTGCATCAGGTTTGAGATGCCTTACCAGTCGGTGTACGATACAAGCAGCACCGGCTGTCAAGAGAGGCAGGATTACCCTTTCTCTCGTGAGGGATTCGCGTCCAATTGCCTGGACAACTTTAATCGTGACCCTAGGGAGGCCTACCTCCCTAATTTTCCCAACTGGAGGGCTCGTATCTCTTCTGAGATGGCCGAAGGGATTGAAACTTTACAATATCTGTACTCGCGTTCGGCTAGGTCGTTTTACGACGGCCCTTCTTCGAACGCAGCGGGTGGGTCTGGTCATATTGCTCGACGACACCCGAAACATCACCAATTATCTGGGTAAGAGGCTATCAGCTCTCTTAGGCCGGTGTACAGCACAGCGAACGAGGTAATTCTTTCTGGACGTTAATCACGTCGCGGTGGTTCAAAATAAACTCCACCAGAATACGTTGACCACCACCAGAATCACCCAAGGGTTGTGGTGACGGCAGGAACATCTGATCCGGCTCAAGGGTCGGATCATCTTGATGTTCAGGAACTGAACCGTTTAATGGAACAGTTATACGATGATAGGCTCATAAATGGACTCGGCATCATGATCTCCCTGAACTTGTAAATTATATTACAATTCCTCATTGCACGATCGTGCCGCGTTTGCGTTCGCGCAACTTCAAAACAAAGGCTCGGTTAGTTCTCTTCGCGACGATCTGGCCGCAGCTCGTCAGGACATCGCTAAACCGCGTAAGCAGGTCGCTTCGCTAGTCGACCAGAATGGTTTGTCGAAACGGGACCACTCGAAGGTGGTCTCGGCCCTTGATTGCGGAGGTTCTTTTCACCTCTCGAAACGGGCCAGTACTGATTGTTCGGGCGGAGACGTCCAATGTGAAAATTAGTATGCATACGAATCATATGAGGCAGTTCAATCGTGTATGCGCTGCCAATGCGGCGCAATACAAGAAATGGACCAATGTACTTGGGCAGTAGTTTGCTGCTGCCCACGTTTGTCACTGCGTTTTTAATTTACCTTACTGTTGACGGTAAAAAAGCATCCATTACTAAATGAAGAACTGTTACTCTTCCATGTTTGTCTGCATTTCTTTTCTGCTTTTATATTGCATCTGAAATGGAGTTTTGAACGAAGCGGACAACCTCTTCGCGAGTCAGCAGAAATTCCTCTGCTGACTCATATTAGTTAACAGCAAGGCTCTTGTGCGCACTGCTGAAGGGACGTTGTCTTCATTAATCAGGGAGCAACCTGCATCACTGTAGCAGTCTTTGGAGATGCTGAATATACTAGAATCAACGTCATCATCATCATCGATGACGATGTGATCGACATTGGCATCCATCACGTCGACACCATTGTCGACGTGTGATGAGCAAGAACCAGATCGTTTTTGTTCGAGCGAGTCCCCCCCCCTTAAACTAGGGTCACACATTTAAGAAGGCGGGTAAATGGCGTAGGCCATTCAAGAAGAACGGTGTATGCGTTGACGACGCATGTACCGAGTAGTTGATAGAGAATTCCGCCATTGACAAGAACTCACTCCAACTCGTAAACGAGTTAACGTACCCTCAACGTATCCCTTCGAGGACGCGGCTGACGCGTTCCGTCTGACCCTCTGTTTTATACCGACAGAAGCCGACATCTTTAAACGTGTTCCAAGTGAAAGGAACACGGATTGCCAGAACTCCGCCGTAAAGCGGGGTCCTGATCAGACACGACTTCACGGGTTAACCCGTGAAGTCGGAAGATAGTATCGATTAAGACACGAGCACAGCCCTGTGCTGTGATTGACTCCGGTACAGCAACAAGATGTATCATCTTGCTGAACCTATTAACAAACACAAGAGTGTTAGTATTCCTGTAAGCGTCTTTGGGAAACCCAAAAACAAAGTTCATCGATACGGACTGCCAGCACTCTGCCGGAATTGGTAGAGGCTGCAAGGGTGCACGGAATGAAGGACTAGGCTTCACCCGTTGACAAACTTTGCAAGCTCGATTGAATTTCCGCAAAAACTCATACTGGCGGGGCCGGTAGAAGTCACGACTCACCAGGAGGTAAGTCTTTTCTCCAACGCGATGCCCACTTTTTGGGGCATCGTGACACTCATACATGATGCACTATCGCAAATCATCATGAGCGCGAGCGACGACACGAGGTCGGTCGCCGTTGACTGCTGCATAGTACAGTAGTCTATCACGGACAGAACACCGTTCGGTTGAAGAGCGGTATTGAGACGACAAGCTTTTCAAAGCTTGACAGCACGGATAAGATACGTAATCCATCAATCTCAGAATAATATCATCTTCTGTGTATGCTTTCCGCACGTCGTCGAGCAGATTCGACGACGAAACACTCACTGATAGTGTTGCAACGGTGGGATCACCTTTTCTGTTGGGTGGAGCAGTCGGCTCGAATCGGGTCGACGAGAGAGAGCATCAGCGATGACATTAATTCGTCCTGGTCAATACTCGACGGAGAAGTTGCACTACGCGAAGAAATACAGCCACCTCGCCATTCGTTTCGAGATGTGTGGACTATTTACGGCCGTGCGTAATAACGCGTGGGTGGTATAAACGAAAAAGGGCCTACCTTCGAAGAGATGTACCCGAAACTTAGCCAGTGCTCATTTAAAAATCAAAGTGTTCCTTGTCGAGCACTGGGTAATTACGCTGGGCTGCTTGCAGCCAACGCGATTGATAACAGACGTGGCGCTAAACGCCTTCTGGGTCGTACTGCATTACCGCGCAGCCGATTGCATAATCACTGACGTCACAGACCACATGGATGGGTCTGTCCTGGTCTGCGCCAAAACATGCGATTGTAACAAGCTTTTCTTGATACCTTCAAAGGAGTGCTGACACTTCGCACTCCATGACCACTTCTCGTTTTCTATAACAAACAAGAGAGATGTACGGTCATATCGGCGTGGTTGCGCGAGTATTTATGCAAATACGCCGCTAGCCCAAGAAAATTTCGTAGACCCTTGACGTCGACTGGCACAGGCAAGTCGCTAATCGCCTTTATCTTTTTCGGATCAGGGAGTACACATTTTTCTTTTACGATGCAGCCAAGAAGTGGTATTTTGTTCACTGCGAATGGAAACTTTTTGATGTTTGCGAACAACTTATGCTCACGCATAAGTGTGAGAACCTTCCGGCCGTAAATTTTATAAACCTCCACGTCCGTCTTTCCATCCATAGCCCGGCTATGGACGAAGCCATCGTTTAAGTAATTCTGTGCGAAGTATCGCACCGATCGCAACAGATTCGTAACACATCAGTTAAACGTTGCAGGGTCGTTACTTAGCCCCTGTGGCATCACTAGCTACTCACAAAGCAAACTTCTGGGGATGCTCAC